AATGGCTGGTACTGGTTGTTCCTTTCTATGTGTAGTGCCTCTTTCAGGAGCTCTTGTAAAGCAGGCCTGGTGGTGACAAAATCTCTGAGTACTTGCTTCTTCACAAAGGATTTTATTTTTCCTTCACTTCTGAAGCTCAGTTTGGCTGGATATGAAATTCTGAGTTGAAAGTTCTTTTATTTAAGGATGTTGAATATCGGCCCCCACTCTCTTCTGGCTTGTAGAGTTTCTGCCGAGAGATCTGCTGTGAGTCTGATGGGCTTCCCTTTGTGGGTGACCTGACCTTTCTCTCTTGCTGCCCTTAGTATTTTCTCCTTTATTTCAGCCTTGTTGAATCTGACGATTATGTGCCTTGGGGTTGCTCTTCTTGCGGAATATCTCTGTGGTGTTCTCTGTATTTCCTGCATTTGAGTGTTGGCCTGTCTTGCTAGGTGGGGGAAATTTTCCTGGATAATGTGCTGAAGAGTATTTTCCAGCTTGGATTCATTCTCTTCGTCCCCTTCTGGTACACCTATCAAACATAGGTTAGGTCTCTTCACATAGCCCCACATTTCCTGGAGACTTTGTTCATTCCTTTTTGTGCTTTTTTCTCTGATCTTGGTTTCTCGTTTTATTTCATTGAGTTGATCTTTGACTTCTGATATTCTTTCTTCTACTTGGTCGATTAGGCTGTTGAAACTTGTGCATGCTTCGCGAAGTTCTCGTATTTTGTTTTTCAGCTCCTTTAATTCATTCATATTCCTCTCTAAGGTATCCATTCTTGTTATAATTTCCTCGAATCTTTTTTCTAATCTTTTTTTAAGGTTCTTATTTTCTTTGCATTGATTTAAAACATGTTCTTTTAGCTCACAAATGTTTCTCATTATCCACCTTCTGAAGTCTAATTCTGTCATTTCATCACAGTCATTCTCCGTCCAGCTTTGTTCCCTTGCTGGTGAGGAGTTTTGGTCCTTTCTAGGAGGCAAGGTGTTCTGGTTTTGGGTGTTTTCCTCCTTTTTGTGCTGGTTTCTTCCCATCTTTGTGGATTTATCCACTTGTCGTCTTTGTCGTTGCTGACTTTTCGATTGGGTCTCTGAGTGGACGCCCAGATTTTTGATGATGAAGTATTTCTGTTGCTTGGTTTTCCTTCTACCAGTCTAGCCCCTCTGCTATATGACTGCTGAGGTCCAATCCAGTCCCAGCTTGTCTGGGGTGCACCTATAGCAGCTGCAGAACAGTGAGGGATGCTACCAGTTTGTTTTTCTGCTATCTTTGTTTCAGAATGATGCCTGCCAAATGTCAGTCTTCTGGATATAGAGGGGTCAGGGAGCTGCTTGAGGAGACAGTCTGTACTTTATAGGAGCTCAAGTGCTGAGCTGTGAGCTCTGTTGTTCATTCAGGGCTGTTAGGCTGCTATGTTTAATTCTGCTGCAACAGAACTCATAAAAAAAACCTTTTTTTCTCGCATGCTGTGTCTCGAGGTGGGTTGGAGCTTTCTTTGTGAGTGTCCGTTGTGCTGTCCTGCCCAGCTAGGAGGCAGTCTAGTCACTATTTGCCTGCCGAGGCTCCGTTCTGCTGGTGTGAGGTTCGCCCTGTTGCTGCAGGCTCTGCCCTTCTGCTGTGGTCTCTGCCCTGCTGCCACGGGCTACGCCATGCGGCGGAATCTCTCTGTTGTAGGGGGTTGCCTTAGCAACAGCAGGCTGCATCTGCAATGGGCGTGTACCTCAGTAGGGATGGATTGCCTCGGTAATGGCGGATGACCCTCCCCCATGGAGCTGCATTGTTTTGGGTTCAGCTGTGCCCTAAGGGAACCTCTCCACCGGGAGCGTTTGGAATCTCCGTTTTGTTTGTCCCACTGCGCTACCCCAAACGCTGTTTCCCTGGAATCTCCTGGGCTGGCTCACTGTCCAAGTCCCATTCAGTCTCAAGTTCAGCCCTCTCAAGTCTCAGATTACCAGTTCAACAGGGCACCCGGACCAGTGCGCTTTGTGTGGAGCGCTGTGTAGCACTGCTGCGCTACAGCGCCGGCTGCCGGCCGCACCGGCTGCCGGCTGCACTAGCCAAAACCTCTGCCTGGTGTCCCGCGTCTCTTTTATACCTGGGAATTTCCCCATTCTGTGGGCAACAAAGATCCATGTGGAAATGTGGCCCTGACTCACCCTCTCTGTGCATTCACCGAGAGCTTCAATCCTGGGTTGTTCTCACTGCACCATCTTGAGTCCTGTAGGTAATCTTTTTCTTTCAAATACTTTAAATTGCCCATAAAGCAAAAACTTGTTGATTGTGTAAACACATGTAATATGATTTCTTACACACACTCAGTTTTGAGAAGTACTAACTAAGCAAGACTAGGAGAAAAAGCCAAGGAAACACTGATGTACAGTCGTCTGGAAATTCACACTGTTCTTGAACTAACTTTCAGATCTGTAGTGAGGACTAGCACAGGGTAAAAATTCCGTAATGTCATAGCTAGATGATGCCATGCAGTCCTAGTCTTAAACCTGTTCACACATTGCTCCTTTTCATTGTATACCTTTTAATTATTTGACTTTTTCAAATATGCTCATTAAATGTTTTAGATAAAAACTTAAAAAAATTAAAAGCACATATGCATAGTAACTTTAGAATCTGTAAATACATTTGTTGTAATGATTAAACTCAATGTCCCATCTTTAGAGAGGCTTAGGAGAGGATTCGCAGTTGAAGAGTAAATGAAACGTTTCTATAGTGCCAGAATTTTTCTTCTTCAATGTAGAAGATAAATCTTTTTTATAACATTGTTACATATGTTACATTCTTGGAGGTCAGATGCTATACTTTAACCATTGTGCAGCAATGATAAAATATATGAGCAAGTGTGTATTAATACAGTAATACAAAAAATAGTTTACTGTCTGTTTGAATACCTACTGTCCTATAGCATTGAGTTTGGTATTTTTAAAAATAGTGACCCCCAACCTTTTTGGAACCAGAGCACCGGGGACCAGTTTTATGGAAGATGATTTTTCCTTGAACTGGGGGCAGTAGATTCTAATACAACGTAACTCTCTCCCATGCACAGTTCAGGATAGCGTTGTGCTGCTGTGGAAGGCTAATGCCGCACTGGTCTGACAGGAAGCAGAGCTTAGGCGGTAATGCTCCCTTGCCAGCCACTCGCCTCCTGCTGCTGTGCAGCCTAGTGCCTAACAGGCCACAAACCAGTAATGGTCTGCAGTCTGGGAGATGGGAACCCCTTAAAAACTGAGTTTCCGATGTGAGTGGATCACCAGAGGTCAGGAGTTCAAGAGCAGCCTGGCTAACATGGTGAAACTCTGTCTCTACTAAAAACAAAATAATTGGTCTGGCATGGTGGTGGGCTCCTGTAGTCCCAGCTCCTTGGGAGGCTGAGGCAAGAGAATCACTTGAACTCAGGAGGTGGAGGGTATAATGAGCCAAGATCACACCACTGCAGTCCAGCCTGGGCAACAGAGGGAGACTCCATAGTAAAAAACAAGCAAAAAATACTCAGTTTCCTCTCCAAAGTATCACTGTTTAAAAAGACCCTCAAGTAAAGTCAGTGTTTTGCCCGTGTTGAAATCTAGTTATTTTAAGTTCTGAAGCATTTTAGGGGCATCATAGAAGGAAAATGTTTGAAAGACAAACTGAGTGCATAACAGAGAGAGCAAGTATGTGCATGTGTGTGTGCATGCCTGTGTGTGTGCGTGCATGTGTGTGTGTGTGTGTGCATGCATGTGTGCATGCATGGTAGGCATGATTGCACATGCTGGGAACATACTCTGTTCAGCGACCAGTTTGGATGATACTGGTTGATATGTGATTTGGGACTAGACGTGGTGTCATCTGAGGAAATGAGTGATAAGCTGCAAGTCTGAGAAAGATGAGAGAAAACTGGAATCATCGGGACTCAGTGGTTTCTCTAAGATGGATATTGAAGAAGAAAGGAGAATTACAACCTTGCCTGAAGTCGTGGGACGGCGATGTGGGCATATTTTTGGCTGTGTCAGGTTGAAGTTAGGCTGTGCTTTGGAGTGACACTGAGTACATTCCATTTTTGGTACGTTAAGTTCGTTCTGATGGTGACAGACAACAGGGTTTGATTGCTTAGAAAGACACAGGAACTGAAATGACAGTGCTTACAGATCTAGAATTTATTACAGGAAAAAGATACAATATACAACAGCACTAAATTGAAGGCTGCCTCCAGGAAGGAGTCGGTCGATGCCAGGCTGAGCTCCAGTAGCCCCTCCTCTGTTGGGGATACACACTTTCTCACAAGTCAGAATCATGACCTGTGTGTGCAACACTCAGAACCAGTGGACCAAGAGGGGCTATCTGCCAGCTGGTTTACACCAGATATTTGGTCACACAGACATTTTCTTGCCTGTAGCCAGCCCCATTGGGAGAGCCTTCCAGGGATTCTCACCTAGACCCTGTGCAAACCACCCCAGTCTCACTTTACCAATCAGCAATGCTGACAAGCTGGCATAAACACCCCCCAACTCCTCAGACACCAGGAACAAAGCAGCACTATTATTGGTGGGTGTGTTTTATGCCCTGACCAGAGTGCCATGCAGGTACATTTCTTACTTCACCAGAACAGCTCACACCAGCCCCGGGTCTGCTGGAATTAGCCTTTGAAACATGAGTGTTAAGGGTCATTTGGGATATTCATGTGGGTTGTATTGTGTAGAATACTGCAAGTGTTAGAAACCCCATTGTGTGCATGTGTAGTTGAATATACCACAGTGTAGCCATTCTTGCAGGCATATCATACCCATTTTAGAACCTCTAGAATGGTAATCTGGTGGTGGTGTTTCATTTTCCCTGTGAAATTAGTGTATACTTCTTAACTTGTAATTTGTTAGTTCAACCTTTACAGTTTAAAAAAATAAAATTCATCAATTTCGTAAGAGGTAGCATTGCAAAAAACCTTTTAAGTTTATTGAAAGCAAATGACATGTTTTGTATTTTAAAACTTACTCAGTCTCTAACTGTGTTTCCCCTTCCTTCTCTGTCCCCAGATGAATCGGCTCCTAAGGAAGTCAGCAGGGTAAGTAATGTGAATATTATTTCTACTACTGCAATATAGGAAATGAATCTTTTCTGTGTATTTTAAGTACTCTAACACATTAAAGTATTAGGAAAATAATGGCAAAAACTGAGTTCCGTCTGCAAAGTATCACTCATTAATATGGAATAAAGTCAGTAGAGAGGTTGCAAATAGTGGCGTCAAGACTGAATACATCACACAGGTGGGTTTTGTTTGGTCTGCACCTGCTTATGGGGTTTTCTGGATCAGTTGCTGACATTTAGAAATTGAGAGACTGTATGTAAAGATTGGATTTCTGGCTTCTCTTGAACCAGAAGGTAACACCAACACAGCACTCTCACAGGGCAGCAGTCTTCTCGGTGGGGAGTGGAAGCCGCCTTCAGATGCAGGAGCCTCTCCAGTCAGCCCTGGTCCTCCACGCAGCTGGCTTGACTCATGTCCACTACCTGCCCAACCTTTGCCTTTGAGTTCATGCCCTTTCTATTCGGGAGAACAAAAGCTGACAACTCATGTGTTGAAAGCATGATATTGCTTAGAACTTTTAGATATCTCAAAGGTACTGTTTTCATGTCCTAGAGAAGTAATTAGTGTTATCTTTAAGAGTCTTAGGAAGCTTAAAAACTGAAAGCATTTAGCATACTGTGTTTATGCTATAAAAATAAGTGATTACATTTGAAAAAAGTGTCTTAGTTTTTTGCATTATGCAGATAAAGATCTTCAGATTAAATACTGAAAATAGTAAAGTTTGTAACTTTGAAAACAGTAAGTTTGACTTGAACTTAATGCAACCTTACATATCACTTTTTATGGTGAGATCTAAACTGAAAAACTGTTAGAATCACACATGCAGATATATTCCTTCATTTTTGATCATCTGAAGAAAGAAGTCTCTAAAATGACCTGGGCCAGTGCTAGGGAGTAGGGGAGTTGGAGATAGGGGGAGGGCAGAAATCCTTCTGTCCACAGCAGTGTAGGAGACTCTTGAGGTTTCTGTGAGTCTCAGGGTTTCACTGGGTGCCTTTGCTGTTAATTTCACATTTGCGGAACTCACAATTTTGGTCTGGATGCCCAAAAGGGACCAGGAAGTGATAGAAGAGTGAACCTAGAATTTTTGGCAGCTGCTAGGAACAGCAGAAAATGCTAAAAAGTGACAGTTGAGGAGAAGATAGGTACTTTGAAAAGTGAACTTTGGCAGAGTCCTAAAATATTACATATGTTGCCAAAGCTGCCACGTGTTCAGACAGTGTCATTGACAGTACCACATACAGAAGGCTGTTAGAAAAAAATGACGAAACTGTATGTAGTGGGGTTGGTTTTTTTTTTTTTTTTTTTTTTTTTGCTATTATTTATAAGATTCTCTTACATTATGCCAAATTTGGAGAAAAGAATATTTCTAATTGAGAAATACTAAAGGTATAACCTGACACCCTAGAAACGGTATCAGTGTCCAAGAGCTCTATAAAGTTCTATTGAAAAAATGTACCCCATATCTTGATCAATGCTTATTTGACTAATACTCAGAGTTCCTTTATGAAGTAGATTTAGAAATTCCTGGGACAGCCTTTGGAAGATGGTGACTGGCTACAGGGCTTCTGTTCTAACACATCCCTGACAGAAAGCATGCTCTTCAGTTCCACTAACGGCAATGGTTATACTCTCAGGCAGTTCTGTTTTGTTTTTGCTTTCTTTCTCCCTTCTCTTTTTTCATATACTTTTTAAAAAAATTCAGACAGAGTCTCCCTTTATCATCCAGGCTTTCAGGTACAGTTTCAGCTCACTTTAGCCTTGACTTCCTGGGTTCAGACGATCCTCCCACCTCTGCCTCCTAAATAGCTGGGACTACAGGCCTTTGCCACCATGCCAGGCTAATTTTTTGTATTTTTTTTTTCCTTTGTTAAATAGAGACAGGGTTTCTCCATGTTGCCAAAGCTGGTGTCGAGCTCCTGGGCTCAGGTGATCCTCCTGCCTCAGCCTCCCAAAGTGCTGGGATTATAGGTTTGAGCTACTGAGCCCAGGCTTGGCAGTTCTAATTATTATGAAGTACTTTCTCATTTAGAACCAAGCAGCCTCCCAGAATGGCCATTCCCCAGTATTTGTTTTGACTTTGATTTCATATGCAAACTCTTTGAGTACCAGGATGATGCTATTTCTTTTCCAGTAAAACATCTTTCTTTCTAAACTGTATTTTCCAGATGCCTCCTTAAGATGTGGGTCGACATTCTTTGGACAGCCCATACATTATTAATACATATTTAAAACACTGCGACCTTAAAATAACACCACAGACTGATTGTGTCGTGACCCCGGTCGGTAAAAGGAGGTGTGACGGATACCTGTCTTAGTGTGAAACTATGTATCTGTCAATACAGTCTCAACTGAGAATTAGTTTTTTTAAACTACGTTGCATTTTTGGTTATTGAGCTTTGAAGAAACTATCATTATTTTTCAGGAAGTCAAGTCAGACTGGTGGGTCTTATGTTGCTTCCCTTCCCTTTTCCCCATTTTCCCTTTCTCTCTTTGTCTCCCTGTCTTCTTACTCATTATTCAATGACCAATATTTTTGAGCACTTGTGTTCCAGGCATTGTTCTAAGGTGCTGTGGATACAATGGGGAGCAAAATAGACAGTATTCAGGTTCTTATAGCATAGAGGGGAGTGGTGGTAACAGCTCAGAAAATTTATATGACGTGTATATGTGTGTTTGTGTGTGTTCACACCTGTCAGGCAGTGATAAATGCATGGAAGAATAAAGCAGAATAAAGGGCTGGAGAGTGATGGCAGGTTCGGAGGAGGCTTATTGGCTTGTGGCACATCTGCAGTGGTCAGGAGAGGTTAACTTCTTCTGGGAAATTTGAGCAGGAATTAGAAGGGAATGAGAGAATCAGCAGAAGGAGGAGATGGCAACTGCAGAGGCCCTGATGTAGGCCGTTTGACTGGAGCAGAGGGAGTCATGGGAGACTAATAAGCAATGAGGTTGGAATGGAATTGGGAGTATACACAGTAAGAGTGGAAACAGATAGACCCAGGGCAGTCTGGGAGTGTGATGGGAGGGTGGTGTCTAGGGTTAGGGTTGTAAGACAGGTAGACCCAGGGCAGTCTGGGAGTGTGATGGGAGGGTGGTGTCTAGGGTTAGGGTTGTAAGACAGGTAGACCCAGGGCAGTCTGGGAGTGTGATGGGGAGGGTGGTGTCTAGGGTTAGGGTTGTAAGACAGGTAGACCCAGGGCAGTCTGGGAGTGTGATGGGAGGGTGGTGTCTAGGGTTAGGGTTGTAATGGTGAACTATGATCAGAGGTTGGGTGTTTAAGAAGAAAGAGCACACAGGCTTTGTTTATGGGTTTGTAAACCAAAATGTATCCGAGACCTGTCTCAGTCAACTTAGAAGTTTATTTTGACAAGGTTAAGGTCATGCCCATGATACAAACTCAGGAGGTTCTAATATGTGTCCAAAATAGTTGGGCTACAGCTTGATTTTATGCATTTTAGGGAGACATAAGGCATCAGTCAGTACATGTCCCTTGGTTTTATATGAAAAGGTGGGACAACTGGAAGCATGGGGTTGGGTAGCATCCAGGTCACAGGTGGATTCAAATATTTTCTGATGGGCAATTGGTTGGAATCAGTAGGAAGTAACATCTGGCTTAAGGTGAGGCTTTTGGACACCAAGGTTTTATCATGCAAATGAAGCCTCCAAGTCGCAGGTTACAGAGCTCTTAGACTTAAAAATGCGCCAGACTCTTCGACTTTCCTGGGTCAGAGAAAAGATCTGGAAAGGGAAGGGGCTTCTCTGCAGAATATAGATTTTCCCCACAAGAGACAGTTTTGCAGAGCCATTGCAAAATATGTCAAAGAAATATATTCGCGGTAAAATACGTCAGTTTCTTTCGGGGCCTGCTATCTGTCTTGTGACAGCGCTACACGAGATCAGGCTGGAGTTTGGTGTCTTATAGCTACAAAAAGTCTGTGTCATCAGTCTTAAAATCTGTTTAGTGTTAATGCAGTTCGGCTGTGCCTGAGTTTCAAAGGGAGGAGTTTATAATGAGGCATGTCCAACCTCCTGCCCCCCATCACTGCCTATGCTGGATTTTCAGGTCTGCTTTGCAATGCCCTTGGCTGAGAGGAGGGTCTTTCAGTCAGCTGAGGAACTTACAGTTTTATTTTGGTTTATAGTGTATATGGTGAGTTAGACGAGAGGCATCAGTAATGATTTCCAACCTTTTGGTCTGAGCACTTGGTAGAATAAGATTTCTCTTTACTGTTACTGAGACTATAGGAGGAATGGGGTTGAGACTAGGAAAGTAGTAGGTTTAGGGAATCAGATACGGAATTGGAGATTTTCAGAAAACAAGGGCATATATGGTCCAATTAAAAGGAAAGTTCGTAGGTAGAGATACACATTTGGGAGTTTCTGGTGTATAAATGATGTTAAGGCCGTGGGAGAAGGTGACATTTCTTAGAGAGTTGTCTGTGGAGAAGAGCCAAGAACCGAGCACTAAACTGTGGACACTCCGCTGTCGAGCGGCTGAGAAGACGGGGAAACTTCAGCACAGAAGAGGAAGGAGGAGAGATCAGCGGCGCCAGAGGAGACCAAAAAGTTTCTATGTCAACAGATTTTGTTACAGAATTTTAACCGTAGGACTATACGTTTATTTTACCTTCATTCCATCTTATTTTGATCCGTCTCAGCCTATTGAGATGAGTCTCAGTCTTATTTCTGTTATCTAACATCGTATTTATTTCTCTCTGTTTTGAAACCTCAAATTTGAGTGTTTTTTTCCAAGGTGTTTTCCTGTGCCCCCTTTACAATAATTGTCATCTAGGAAATGCTGAGCGTGGAAATGTCACCTCTGAGAATAATGTGAGATCGTGTCAGATGCTTGGTTGAAACCAGTGTATCTTAAGCTACTATATTTTTCTAATCAGACATTGCCATTTAGTTAACAAATGTTAGGTGAGTCCCAGTTCATCGAGGCTCCTAAGATACATCAAGGACAGACCAGACAG